ATGAGTTTTGCCCAATGGTGGGATTCATTCAATTCGCACCTATCCAGGAGAACCAGTTGTTAACTTTCTAAGCAGTTCGGAGGACCAGTTGTTGGAAGAAATCTTATTTTGTTTTTGTTTTTTCGCTTTACAGGGCTAATCCTGTAAGGAAGGCAGGGAGGAAACATTCTGGTGTTGTTTCTAGGCTAATCTTTATTGCCCTGCTTACAGAAACTGCCTCTCCAATTAACCCTTATTACATTGTAACAGCTAAGGCAAAGCTCCCATTGATCTAAGTGACGTTGAGTTGGCCATGCCCACCCAGTCACATGAACACCAGGCCACACCTACCCAGCTGGTCATTAGGGCAGAGAATCGATTGTTAAATTATTTTAATCCCACCACTGGTTTTGCCCCATTTTATGATCTTTCTTGCCAAAGCTGTTAAGTGAATCATTGAATTTGTCAAGTTAGCCAATATGGTTGTTAAGTGAATCTGGTTTCCCATTGATTTTCCTTGAAAAAAGGTCACAAAAGTTGATAACATGACCCTGGAATACTGCAACCATCATAAATAGGAGTCATTTGCCAAGAGTCTGAATTTTGATCAGATGACCATGGGGATGCTGCAATGGTTATAAATGCGAAAAATAGTCATAAGTAACTTTTTCCAGTGCCATTGTAACTTCAAACAATCACTAAACAAACTGTTGAAAATCAAGGACTACCTCTAAATAAATAAAATATTTTGTGTTTTTGCTGGGATTTCTGTTAGAAATAGTGCAAGAGTAAAATATTGTGAGGAGAAACTCTGTTCTGTGTCAGAGTATCTCTGACTTAATCAGTGAAGCTTTGCAATAAAAGAAGGTACAGTAGCATTTTAAAATGTGAAATGGGCTGATACAATCATACTGCTCCTGTCCTTTTATCATCCCTTCTCCTCCTATCATTAGTGAAGCCAGTGAGGAATCAGTGCTCTTACGAAGGTATCTCTGAAATGTTTAGAATTTTTTTAATCCCCAGTTGGAGATTTAACACCTGAAAAGTAAGATATATCTGAGAAAATCCAGACATATTGTAACCCTACTCTCTTTGCAATGTTATCTTTTCTTAAATATAAAACAATCCTCAGGACCAAATACGTGTTGAAATTGTTTTTTGTTCTTTTTTATTTTATTCTGATTTCAGTCTTTGTGGTTATTTTAAACATGGATCCTGGTGTTGGCTGAATCAGGTACAGGTTTTGCTATAAATAGTTAATATGAGCATTGATTGCCTCAGAAGTTTTGCTGAAAGCTGGGTTTTTTTTTCTTATGGTTTACTTTTCGTGCTTCTTTGCTGCAGATACAGATACCTGATAGATATGCCCAATAAGAGGAATGAGTAAACATTCTTTCCAGTGGAATCCACAACAAACTACTGTTGAAAGAAATATCCATCTGGTTCAGTTTCAAGTGGGGAGAAAGACACTGAAAACATGGAGGCTGTTTGGAAATAGGGTTTATTGATGGACAGGACCACATGGGTTTGAGGTCCTGGGTAGCTGACCACATGGAGTGGAGAGTGAGTGCTATTTATACCCTCTCTTGGGATTTGCCCTTGAGCTTCCTGTTCCTGTGGCAAAGACATGTATTCTATTGGTTGCTGTCAGACTCCCATGGGGCTATTCAGGGCAATGGTGGGATTCAATTTTTTTTACTACTCGTTCGATGGTCGTGGTGTGACGTGGTGATTGTGGCAGGGGAAGGATACTGTAAAATCTCCATTCTCACCTTACTCCGGGGAAGATTACTGCAAAATCCCCATTCCCCCCCAATCAGCTGGGACTCAGGAGGCAGAGAATAGATGGGGGCGGGGCCGTGAGAGGTGGTATTTACTGGTTCTCCAAACTAGTCAAAATTTCCGGTACCAGTTCTCTGAACTAATCAAAATTTCCACTACTAGTTCTCCAGAACTGGTCAGACCAGCTGAATACCACTTCTGATGCCGGAGTCATAACTAACCTTGTAGGTTTTCTGAGTCAAGCTTGGTTGAAACTTGGGCTAATGAAATGCAGTTCCTATTGTGGCTGAATGGCTTTGCCCTCAAGGATAATCCCATCATCCTGAAGTTGAAGGTCTTTTGTTTTGTAGATAGGCTGGCCCAGTCCTGCTAGGACTAATAAGTAAGGTAGAGGCTGCTTTCCAAGAGCAGGTTTCTCCTTTAGCGAAATATAACATTCTGCCTTTTATAATATTTCCCAAAATATTTCATTATTATAGGAGAGGGGTGGGTGCTAACTTTATATACTACAATGACACCAGCATGGAAATATGCATGTAGTGACATCACAAAACATGTTTCTTCATTGTATTTAATTTATTTATTATTCAAATTTATATGGCTGCCCATCTCACAGGAAGTGACCCTGCATGGTGTACAACATTGATTGCTTTTGCCACCTCCTACTACGACTGTGGCCTGTTACTAACATTAATTTGCCGTATTGCTTTGCCACTGACAAAATTACTGCTCAATGTGCTAGAAATGGTTTGGGGCAACATGGTAATCACTGAATTGTTTTTAACAAATAGCACAGGAGAAAGATTCATAGAGTTAACTGATAATTGTAGAGCTGGTGCATTCTCCTTAACTGCTTGTAAAACAGATGATATAAGAAATGTAGGTAATGATAAGAGGTGTGAAAGAAGCAACTTATTGGGAATCTCAACCTTCCTGCAATTGCTGAGTGCCAGGACTTAGATAGCTTCTACACATCTAATGCACCATATATAATCATCTAAAGCAGTGTTTCTCAACCTTGGCTACTTGAANAAAATAATGAGTTTAAGAGGAAATCTCACCACAATCATCCGACCATCTGAAGTAATCACAGCAACAGTACCTAAAATTCATGTCAAGGAATAACCTTAAGGTATGTGTGTGTGCACGTGCGCTCTTCCCAAATAAAAAGGGTAAGCTCATGCTAATGCTACATAAAGGTTCCCCTCACACATACGTGCTAGTCGTCCCAGACTCTAGGGGGCGGTGCTCATCTCCGTTTCAAAGCCAAAGAGCCAGCGCTGTCTCCGAGGTCATGTGGCCGACATAACTAAACCCTGAAAGTGCCCGGAACAGTGTTACCTTCCCACCAAAGACGTTCTCTGTTTTTCTATTTCCATTTTTTACATGCTTTCAAACTGCTAGGTGGGCAGAAGCTGGGACAAGTAAGGGGAGCTCACTCCATTACGCAGCGCTAGGGATTTGAACTGCCCACCTTTCTGATTGACAAGCTCAGCATCTTAGCCCCTACCAGTGGTCTCCAACCTTAGTAACTTTTAAGACTTGTGGACTTCAACTCCCAGAGTTCCTCAGCCAGAAACTCTGGGAGTTGAAGTCCACAAGTCTTAAAGTTGCCAAGGTTGGAGACCACTGCAGTAAGCCACCGCGTCTACATATAAAAGCCCTTTTAAGAAACTGGATCTCTTCCCATTCAAAGCCAACATTTTGGCAATTATGCCTTTTCCTCACAGAAATCTGATGCCGGCATGGGCAAATACTTCTCTTGCTGCTCCATTTTCAAGAAACACGCCCCCCCCCCGCCCCAGTCAATTTGCACTGCCGACAAGCGCGTCGCTTTCATTCTACAGCAAAGCCCGCCCCCTCGCACGAAATCCAACCATCCAAGCGGAGCCGATTCTGAAAAAAAAGAAAATGGCAGACCTCGCAGCTAATCGCAGGCCGCCGAACACCCCCCCCCTCGCGCGCGCGAAACAATGGCGAAAACCGAAATGGCGAAATATAACACAGCAGCCCCCCTCAACGCTTTTCCTTTCCCACCCCGTTCCCGCTTCGACCCTTCAGCACTCGCGTGTTTTTCACCGCGTTTGTAGTGTTTCTAGCCAATAAAAGGATACGGTTGATGTAGTTTTCCAACGCGGAGGTCATAGCGACGGTCACTATCGAATCCAACGCTCGGTCGCCCGGTTATAAGCTATCGCGACGTTTCCCGATCTCAAGCGACAAACTAAATCGTCTCACGTGGCACGGAGTTTAGCCGCCGCGCATGCGCACTCGTGAGAGAGAAGCCGAAGTTCTGCCAGAGCATGCGTTCTGTAGATTCTTAAGATGTGCAAAAGTGGTAGAGTAGTTGCATCATCGGTAGGAAAGGACACTTCCGGTTTCATTTTTTCTTAAGTGAAGTTAAGGTTCCCCGCACAAAAAAATATGGCTGGTTTACAATAGTGGCGAATATCTGTAGCTCGGTTGTAGAATGAGGGTGAAGGTTCAATTTAAGAGGCAGGACATGTCGTTCCAGAGAACTCTTTATTTACAAGCCAGAGAAAAATCGTGAATCAAACTGCCCAGCAGCTTCTTCTTGAAGGGAGCTGTCCGACACATTCAGCCATTGACAGCTCTCCAATTTCCCATCCGGAAACTGGGCCAATCACGGTGGCTTTAGCTGTTCCCTCGTGTTCACATCTGCAACAGTGGGAGTAGAATGGGTTAGAGAAGGGAATGGACAATGGCATTTCCTAAACTCAGGAAGAAATAAGCAGCCTATGGTTGCTGAGCATCTGACATGTGGTCACATGACTGCAGGGTGGTAGTTGGAACTGTAATGTGTCCTAAAGACCCACCCTATGTAAAATCGGTGCTTTTAACGGAATAAATTGTGCTATTGTCCTTATTGCCAAGGATTTTTGCTAACAAGACCCAGGTGACTTTGGTGCAGTTATTCTCAGTCTTGATATAAAGGGGGGGAAAGTGGATGTTATATTCATCACTGTTAACTCCTTGAGGATAGGTGAGATAGTAAATAAACCAATTGCAGGATATATCCTATATTCTTTCATTAGCAGTTACTTTTGCTCTTCATTATACTTGCAAACATGTTGATTTCATTGGTCTTTTTTAGTGCTGTGATCTTGAGCGGTCACTGAAATGTATTAAAAATAATTTAGCGGCTTCTTGATGAGTTGATCAGTAATGACTTAATCTTCCTTATTGCTCTGGAAGCAGAGTTTACAAATTAAATGTTGCTGTCAGCCTAAATAAGGAGCTCCCAAATAGCAATTATTTTGTAGCACAGTAGAGTTTCTGTGGATGACAAGTATATTGATCTGTTGTGCCTGATATCTTGGTACTGCCAAGATGCACAATATTTTTGATGCTGCCAGCTGTTAGTCAAAATGAATAATCAGGAACCAAAGCAACTTTAACTATATGGGATTTTTGTTTAATGTCCACAAGTTGCGTTTATGCAAAATATTCTAATGAAATTAGAAACAGGTGCAAAACACAATGGTCCTATCAGTGGTGGGATTCAAAAAATCTTACTAACTGTTCTGTGGGTATGGCTTGGTGGGTGTGGCAGAAGAAGGATACTGCAAAATCCCCATTCCCTCCCGATCAGCTGGGACTCAGAAGGCAGAGAATAGATGGGGGGCGGGGCCAGTCAGAGGTGGTATTTACTGGTTCTTTGAACTACTTAAAGTTTCTGCTACCGGTTTTCCAGAACCTTCTGAATAGCAGCTCTGGGTCGTAGGATGTTGTATCTGGTTACCTATTGCTTTCTGAATACAGTTTAAAACGTAATGTTTACCTTTATTTATATTTTATTCTATATATTAAATTTGGAGACTACCCATCTAACTCAGAGAGCAACTCTATGTGGTGTACCATTAAAAACATAAACACAATATAAAATATTGTATTTTTTTTAAAAAGGCAGTTAAATCAAGGATAGAATAAAGTTTAAAAGGCATGGCAGGACCTTCAAGGTGCTAACCAATTCTAAAGTTACATTCTCTTTATGTTCCATAAAGTTGGCAGAGCCAGTCTTCAAAATAATCCAGAGTGAGTTTTTAATGCTCTGAATATGCTCTGTTTGAGGGACTGTCTCTCCTATCAGAACACAACTATCTGACCATTAAGGTCTTTAAGAAAAAGAAATGGGTCTCTGAGGCCTATTTATCTGGCAGTGGAAAATAACCTTGCACATTGTTGCCCTCTGAGGATTGTATTTAAATCCTACTATCTCTGCATTTAGAATAGTAGCCAAGAGGCACAGCTTTTGGCAGATTTTAAACATAATGTTTACATTTGATTTAATATATGCTCTTGATTTATATTCTCTGTTTTCATATTTGATGCTATAAGTATTTGATTAAGTTGAAAGCTGGTGGTAAATCAAACAAAATCATCATCATCATCATCATCATCATCATCATCATCATCATCGTCATCATCATATTGTCGTTGTCATCATCAACTGTGTATGTTTCTCAGTGCCGAAAGGCTGTGTTACATCTTTGTTATGGACAATTGAAAGTAATGTCCTCACAAAAATTAAGACTACATAAGAAAGCAAATGAAAAACCTGACATGTATTTGTAGCTGTTGGCTATTCATTAAAATAACTCTACCCTTGCAGTATTGATCAATACTCCAAATGCTATTATTCAGTAATGTCCATCAGTTTTCCCCACCCTTCCATGGCTTGTTTTAAACTGTTTTGACAATAATGATATATTAGACCAAATAAACAGAAAAAACAAATTTGCAATCCTGATTTTTTTTAAAAAAAGGATACCTGATTAAAGCTCAGTTTGTTATTTTAAATTCAGATCATAGTTCCACTATAACTACAGAATAAAATAGAATTTGTTTTTATTGTCCTTTAAATGCAGAACATTTAACTACTGAAGAAGATTTTTTTAACAGTACAGAGGGATGCATTTTTTTAAAAAATCACAATGTTGATGAATATCTGTATTCCTTGCTGGAATACAGATATGTCACCTGGGAGGAGGATGAACCAGGTCCTGGTATGTGAGGAGGGGAGTTGACCAATGGCTCCAAGCAGTCATCTGAGAATGATTTAGCTGAAGCATACCTTCAGCAGGACAGCCCTGATGTGTCAGATGGGGAAAGCATGCAGCTGTAGCCAGTCAGGGATAAGGAAGAGGAATTGCCTTCTGTATCTGATCCAAGAAGATGTAGGGCAGAGAAAAGGCAGGAGCAGTGAAGGTCAGCCAGACCTTCACTGCTCTTGCCATTCATGAGGTTAACCACTCATGAGGTTAAAACCTCACCCGTCTTGATGGGCTGCACTGGAAGCTGGCTCTTTAGCACAGCAGACAGTTGGAGGTGATGCTGGGAACAATGTGTTCATTTCCTAGCTGTGTGTTTTCTGGCCGTTGTGATTCCTGCCTTGCTTTGGATTGACGCTGTGCCTTGACTTTGATTGTGCTTTGTAAACTCTGGACATTTCTTGCCTTGTGAAGTTGTGAACCCTCTTGTATTGTAGATTTAATTTGGCCTGTCCCTAATCCTTCTAATGCTGGTCTCAGGAGTTTATATAATTTCCTCGAACACACACCCAGAAAGTGAGATTTGTTTCCATCTTGAGTAAAATACCACTTCTACCCTTTGTAGTGGGTAACAGTACTTTAAAAAAATGTTGAATTAAAATATTTTTTAATAAGTTCATACCCTTGTTCCATTTTAAATGTGAATTCAGTTATAAGAATTAAACAAAAGCATTTTCTTATTATATAGAAACCATTTCAGAAATTACTTACTTTGTTACAAGTACATAAACTGACTCATTCATTTATGAGTCAGTTTATGTACTTGTAACAAAGTAAGTAATTTCTGAAATGGTTTCTATATAATAAGAAAATGCTTTTCTCCTGTTCTTGCTGTGATATGCTAAATAAACCTGGGGTGAGCATAGGTGGGATTTACCACAACCTCTGGCCTAACATTTCATAACAATTTGTCTCATGAAATTAAATTCAGTCCCAACATCCTCTAATCATGTTTGAGCAGCAAACTATGTCCTTAAACCCAGTGGGAATCTAAACCAATGTCTGCAATTCTGTTCAGATCCAGTAACACCTAGAGCAGGGGTATCAAACTCAAGGCCCAGGGGCCAGATGTGGCCTACAGGGTGCTTAGATCTGGCCCAAGGGACCATCCTGGAAACACCGATGGAGCCCTCATGGGCTCGTGATGCCTCTGCCAGAGAAAACAGAGCTTGGGAGGGCTGCAGACAGTCTCCTGAGCTCCTTTTTCACTGGCAAAGGGTTGCAGGAGGGCATCACAGCCGAAAACGGAGCTCGAGAGCCCATTTTCACTGGCAAAGCGCTTGGGCCACCACAGACGCCCCTGACACAAGTGACGTTGAGCTAGCCACACCCACCCTGGCTACGACACTTCCCCCCCCCCCCGAAGTTGAACACAACCCTGATGCGGCACTCAATGAAATCAAGTTTAACATCCTTGAGCTAGAAGGTAACTGTTAATGCACAGAAAATACACAAACTTTCTTTCTCAACAATGTTTTATTCTTTTTAACAATTGGCTCAGTAATAAGCAGAAACACCTACGCAACAGCAGGACTCCTATGCACTCACAAAAATGTGTTCAATTTAAATTGATTTTTTTAAAATGGTAGTTTTACTTTTTTCTTTAAACTACAATGATTTCTGAAGGTTTTAATTGACTCCTATGTGAGGTTGGCAGTGACTGCGTTGTAGCTGTTAAATTGCATCTATAATCCTATTCATGTGTTAATGTCTTTCATTATCTTGCTTGTCCTCACAACAGTAGCCTTATTTTTAAAAGATCATGCCAAAAGCTAGTAATTGATCAAAATCAGGAAATGGTAGAATTGCAGATAAAAAAAGATAAGTTTATATAACATTCCATTTTAATCTTTGCCATCTTTTGTTTCATTAAGATTTTCTAATATCTATCTCATTGGTAGATATTGCAATCAACCAGTCAAACCTTTATTATGATCATAAGGCCAGCCAAGTGTAGGAAGTTGTCACCCAGGCCTCTCTCAGAAAAATGAAATATCCTAGGAAATATTGAAAAGGCAGAATATTTCTCTGGATGTAAAAGAGAAAGAAACATGTTTTAAAAGATAGAATAGCTGCCTGTAGCTTCCTGCCCATCCCCACTTGTCAATCGGCCATTAAGAAGGCCAAGCTAGTTCCTTTACATAATAAAGACTTCTCCACTTCA